TAAGGTATACTAGATACTTTGTACATTCTTTATTAAATTTCCAATTATTTTAGATTTTAAATTAAGTTTCGATGTGAATACTGTTATTAATTTTCAAATTGTTTGTGTTGTTATTCTGTTGTAGCCACTCTCCAGGTGATGTCCTTATGGTACAGCCAAGTAATCTACATGATGTTGTACAAGAATTTATCAATCATTTATCACTTCAATGGGACCAAACATTCTACCTTGAACAGAATGATCCAGGTAAAGAGTTTGCAGAACTGATATCTGTAATTTGAAAGATACAAGCATTTGCTAAGTGATCAGTCATCAGTCGCTTTTTACAATTCCTTGAATGAGCATTTTTTTTTCTGAATTTAAGTGATGTTAAACAGAGTGGGAGTTACTGGTAACTACTGTAGAATATGTTAAAACTATTGGTTCTGAATTTACAAAGAAAAATCTGAATTCTTTAGTGGGATTCATTATTCTTAATTTCTTTTGAACCAGTTAGTGGTTGTCTTTATATAATTTTGTAGGCATCTCTAGGATCAGTTCATATTTCCTTTTTATTTCTAAAATCTCTATGATAGTCCCTTTAAGTAGAAAAATATGCTTTCAAGAGCTAGGAAATCCTTATAGATAAAACAGCTTGAGCTTTACAAACATGATTTAATGCTAAAACTTTGTGATTTAACAAAAAAATATGTTTTCAAACGCTAGGAGATCCTTATAGATAAAACTGCTTGAGCTTTTCAAACATGATTTAATGCTTAAACTTTGTGATTTAACACACAGATCTACCTGTTCCACACCAGCTTCCTCAGCCATGCTCCATTCAGCATCTTGTGGAACATTATTTAGACATCCAAGGTGTTCCAAGAAGATACTTCTTTGAGCTTCTTTCCCATTTCACAAGTTCAGACCTGGAAAAGGAAAAACTTCTAGAGTTTTGCTCTGCAGAAGGTCAGGTACAAGCAAAGTTTGCTGTATTTAACTGGTAACAAAAAGTTGTTTAGAGATTATTACTGGTGCTCACATCTTAAATACTTCTACAAACATATGTAAAGAAATAATAATTGAATCATGACAAGTCCTTTGAACTTTTCATCAAAATAAAAGCCATTACATCCTTAGATGTTGAGATATGCAAATATTAATATTTCTATTTATTTATTTTTTATTTATTTAGAGATTTACCATAAGTTAGGTGTAGAAACAATAGGACTATAAGTCCCCACTAGGTTTTTACACCATCCCACCCCAGGGGAGGACATCCACCACACAGTAATCTCGTGCATGGGAAATTAATTAATGTCTCCTACGCCTAACCCTGCAGGAGACGGGGCTTATGGTTTATTCGTCCTTATCT